AGGGGAGAAAAAGATTCTTCACTCCTAGCTTGCCAAGTAGATGATCATGCTGAGTTCTGCCCAGCCCTTTAGTTAGAATGTCTGCAACCTAGCTTGACATGCATAGTTTTGATAGATCTAGCTTTCACCTTTTCTTTGATAGAATGACAATCGATGTCTATGTGTTTTGTACGCTCATGAAATATAGGATTGGCTGTAATTTGTATTGCTGCCTTACTATCACACATCAAGGTGACCGACCTCTTAATTTCAAAGCCCGGTTCATTGAACAAGCCTGTCAGTCACACTATCTCTACTGTTGCTGAAGCCGTGCTTCGAAATTCTGCTTTTGCTGAGCTTCTTGTAACAATTTCTTATTTCTTTGACTTCCAAGAAATAAAGGCATCACCATAGAATACTAGATAGTCTGTAACAGACCTTCTTGTGTGCAAGCATGCACCCCAATCTGCATCACAATATGCTAATAGTTGTCCATCTTCTTCTGCTAGCAATAATAGACCTTGGCCTGGAGTAGTCTTAATATACCTTACCACTCTGGTGGCAGCATCTAGATGTGATTGTTTAGGAGCATGCATGAATTGACTAAGTGTTTGTACATCATAAAAGATATCTGGTCGAGTCATTGTCAGGTACAGTAGTCGGCTAATAAGCCTTTGATACACACTTGCATCTCTTAAAACAATATCATTATCAACAACAGTTGTTATTGCTTTGTCAAACTCCACAGTAGTTAACTTCTGATTGACTTCTAGAGGGGTACTGGCTATTTTTTATCCTACTAGGCCAAGTTCAGCTATCAACTCTAATGCATATTTTCTTTGGCTCATATATATACCTTTAGAGGATCTTGCAAACTCAATCCCAAGGAAGAACTTCAGCTCCCCCAGGTCTTTCATTTTGAAGAATCTCTATAAATTTGCTCCAGTTTTATCAATCAAATGAACATCACTACCAGTGACTAATAAGTCATCTACATAGATGAGAACGAGCACTTGACTACAACTTTCTCTTTTACTGAAGAGAGAGTGATCATAGTGACTTTGTGTGAAGCCCATTTTATGCAAGGCATCTGTGAGCTTAAGATTCCATTGCCTGGAAGCCTGTTTGAGTCCATATAAGGACTTGTGAAGTCTGCAAACAGAATACTCCCCCAGCCTTACAATGGTATGAGAGAAACCAGGAGGAATGGTCATGTACACTTCCTCCAAGAGCACCTTGAAGGAAGGCATTATGAACATCCATTTGGTAGATAAGCCAGCCATGATGTGCAGCTAAGGCAATGATGGTCCTGACTATGACCATTTTTGCTACAGATGAAAAAATATTTGTATAATCCAGCTCCTCTTATTGTGTGTACCCCTTAGCCACAAGTCGGGCCTTATATCTTTCAACCTCTCCATTAGCTTTATGTTTGATCTTGAACACCCACTTACATCCAATACAGTTCTTCTTAGGAGGTAAAGGAACTATGCTCCAAGTGTCATTGTCTTTCAAGGCTTGGAGTTCTTGATGCATTGCTGACACCCATTTAGGATCCTTAGCTGCTTCTGAGAATGAACTGAGTTCAATCTCTGCTGAATAAGCTGCAAGACATTGACTGTAGGCAGGCTTCAATGCTTAATAACTAATAGAGTTAGCAATAGGATAATTGCAAGGCTTACTCTTTCTAGCATTTTGGCCAACCACATAATCATTCATCCATATAGGAGGCCTAGAAGGCCTAGTGGATTTTCTGATCCCAGTAGCTGTTAAGTCATCAGCAACAGATGAAGGAAGAACCTTAGGGAATGGAACTATAGTAGTGTGATAGGCAGGACAACTTGAAAAATCATCTGGAAATGAAAGATCATCGGGACTTGTAGAACTACCTTGAAGATCTTCAGTGTGTGGAATATGTGGTGGAGTGACAGCAATAGAATCATCCAAGTATGCCAAGTCAGATGATGAAGTGTCTTGTGATGTAGTGGAGTGGTGAGGTAGAGTCAACACAAGATCATCAGAGTCAGAATCATAGGATGGAGTTATAATATGAACTTGTTGATCCTTCATGGGGCTGTTCATGTGTTGAAGAAAAGGAAACACATCTTCCTTGAAGATAACATCTCTCCTCACAAAAGGGTAGTTATTGTGCAAGTCATATAGTTTGTAACCCTTTTGAACCAATGAGTACCCCAAAATACAGATGGTACTGCTATAGGTTAGAATTTGTGTTGTCTTTTAAGATTTGCAGCATAGGCCAGGCAACCAAACACCTTGAGATGATCTAGGGTGACATTCTTGTGAACCATCTCAAAAGGTGATTTACCAGACAAAATTCTAGAAGGAACTCTATTAATCAAATAAACAGCTGTTAAAACACACTTACCCTAGAATTTTAAAGGCAATCCAGCCTGGAATCTCAAGGCTCGTGCAGTATCCAAAATGTACATATGCCTTCTTTCAACAACTCCAATTTTGTTGAGGAGTGTATAGACATGAGCTTGATGCACTATCTTTCAGACTGCAATAAGGCTGTCAACTGCTTGTTAAAAAACTCTCCTCCATTATCTGTTCTTAGTGTTTTAGGAGTAGTGGAGAACTTATTTCATAGTAGTGAAATAAAGTGTTTCAAAATCACAACTGATTCATCTTTTGTGTTCATGAGGCAGATCCATATATACCTACTGAAATCATCAACAAGAGTCAGGAAATATCTCTTATCATCAAAAGTTGGAACCTTAAAGGGTCCCCATACATCTGCATGTACAAGGTCACCAAAGACATCACATCTACTGTTACTAATAGGAAAAGGTAATCTGTTTGCTTTGCTAAAGGACATATTGGACATTGTTTATTACAATCAACAAATGCCTTATTGTGAAATGCTGGTAATCTCTTCAAAGCATCTAAAGGAATGTGACCTAATCTTTTATGCCACAAAGAGCCACTTATTCTATTTATTACTAAAGCAGAAGTAATAACACCAATTGGCAACTTGAGATTTGATTTATGCTTGAGATCCAACACATAGAGTCCTTCCTCAAGCTTACCAATCCCCTTCACCTTCCCATTGTAAATGTCGTGGAAGAGACACCAAGCAGGAAAGAAGACAATGAAGCATCCAATGTCCCTTGTATGTTGTGAAACAGATAGTAAATTGTACCTAAACTGTGGCACATACAGGACATTTTTAATTGGTAAACCATTGAGAATACTAGAGGATCCTAGGTGTGTAATCCTACTAGTTTCACCAGTTGACAGCTGCACTTTCCTACCTTCTCCTTTAGGTATCTCCATAAAATCAGTGAAAAAATCCAAATTAAATACCATATGGTTAGTGGCACCTGAGTCTATAATCCACCTATCCTGCTTAACTTTGCTTATGAGTGATAATGGTATACTTGTGACCTTGGCATGAGCTGCTATTTCAATAGGTGTTGTGTTCTGGTTGAGCAGTTGAAGTAGTTGTTTATACTGCTCCTCTGTGAAGAAGTTCCATGTAAATGCTATTCCAAAGCTTCCTTGGTTTGTTGGTCCTTTTGAATAGTCAACCTGTGCATTGTGTGTTGCTGCCGTGTTTCTTCCAAAGGTTTTCTTCTTTGGCTTGTAGTCAGGTGGATAACCTACCAACTTGTAACAAACATCTTTAGTGTGTCCTTTTAATTTGCAATAATCACAGAATACCTGAGCTTTCTACTTGTAGCCACCAGGAAAACCTTGTCCTGAGTTGTATGCCATAGCTGTTGCTCCTATCTCCAAGCCACTAATAGTCATTGTCTTTGCTTGTTGACTCTCATCCTGAACTACTATCCCATAGGCCTCACTGATAGTAAGAGTAGGAATCATAAGCATGATTTGGCCTTTTGCTTAGGCAAATGACTCGTTTAGTCCACTCAAAAATTGCACCAAACGCTACTGTTGAATGTGCTCTAGAAACACCTTCGATTCTGGACATGGATATGATGGAGTAGGGGCCATAGCATCGTACTCACCTCACAGATCCTTGAGCTTAGAATAATAGGTTGATACAAGTGATAATCCTTTCTTTAAGGCAGCAATTTTCTGAAGTAAATTGTAAATCCGCTATATGTTCCTTTTATCGAATCTCTCCTTCAAATCCTTCCACACATTGTGTGCAGAGGATCCATAAACCACACTGCTATATAACTCTTTTGTTATTGCATTCATAATCCATGACAAAACAAAGGCATTGCACCTCTCCCATTAATCATGAAGATTTGTCCTAAAATACTCCTTGCGACAAGTACTGTCAATGAATCCGATTTTGTTCTTCGTAAAAAGTCCAATTCTCATGGATCGACACCACAAATTGTAATTTCAGTGCCTAATAGTTTGAATTCAATCAGATGTTCACCTGGCGAATCCAAAGGTCGCAAATACAGAGGATGATTGTGACTTAGCATTGTGACACCACTCGTTGCTTCTTCAATCGCCATTATACTCTGAATTGAGAAAAACAACAAACTCTAGCTCTGAAATTGAGGTCGTCAATGGATAAGAACACTGAATCGGAGATCGGAACCAGTCACTGGAGCTCAATTGAAGTCTGATACCATATTGAGCAGTCAGCTAAGCTCAAAGTGGAGCCATTTTCATATATGTGCAAAGAAGAAATGTACAGATCTCCTCTAACTGAGGAAGCTAACATCTATAACTAACTAACCGACTAAAGGAGATTAACTTACAAGATTCTATTTGTACACTTTAACCCCTAAACTAATGTATTATGCTATGTTGGTTCAATAATTTAAGTATGTAATGCGAAAAACACTAGTCTTATACATAGTCAAAGGAAAGAAATATGTATTCATTTGAACCCACCCGCTTTTGCGTGGATCCGACCCTTACTTTCAAGGATTTCTCCATTTTTGGGTCAAAGTATCCAATTGAGGGTGAAGTGATTCCTTCATGACATCATAAATGGCTATTTAAAAACATATACAAGAAGCATAATTCAATAAAACATCGATCAAATAAGCTACCATTTATTTTCTTTTCAACGATTTTTTTTTCTATGAATGCAACATATGCAGAATATATTTTTGCTTATATACTTTTATCACTTAATTATAGATAAGTAATGCGTATTATCACTTTATGTTAAACTCTAATATGAACTTATTTAGAATATTAATATAAACATCGCAGGCATATAATTATTTGTTTTACAATAAAGACCATGAATTGGGACTTGAACTCATTATGTTACACTGTATTTGGAATTGCGTTGTCTTAAACACTATATGCCCCCTTGGGACAATATCATTATTTAAAGTAGGAAGGGCCTTTTACTTTTTAGGTAGTGATGAGGGATTTAAATTCTGAGCCAGTAATTAGTTGCTGTGATTTTGGTGGGTTAAATGATTAAGCTTTAGCTGACCTACCATTACTGCCCTTGACATTTTGGCAACACTTAAAAGTAGTTGGATCCCAAGATATTCTTTCAAGGACACCTAAAAACTTCGTTTATTTAATTAATTAAGCACAATTACAATGTTTCTATCTTATGGTGTCTTAAAGGAAATATAAAAAGAATTATTAGGCTACTAGATAGAGTTTGAAACTCCTACCATCCCATTTCAAATTAACCTTCAATGAAGTTTTTATTGTCTCCAAAATATACTCAAATAAATTAATTTAATTTGTTTTTCCAAAATTATCCTTATGTACGTATCCCTAAAAAATCATTTACTCCTCATATTTGAGAAAAGAAGTAAGTGCTACTATAACTATAGTGCAACATTTAATGAAGGGTAGTTAGTCACACTAACTATTTTCGTCTAGAATTTAATACTTCCTTAATGGGTGTGCTCAAAGTAAATGGTCGTTTATTGTGGACCGGAGGAAATAATGTCAGGGAAAGTGCACTTAGTGATCCTTCTCTCACAAATCCACAAACTATTAATATGCACAAACCTCATGTAATAAAATTATTTGTGCAATTTAAATGAACTACTTTTCATAGCTAATTGATTGAGGCTGCTTGTAGATCACCTAAAAGGAAATATTTATTATTTGATCCATATCTCGACATAAAGTCCAAATGGAACAACACTTGAAATGAAGATCCATGAAAAAACACAAATACTAAGATCGGCTAGAATAAGGTGATCACCTAAAAAAGTTACTTAGATAACTTAGAATTGTTTTTGAGGTTTTTAATAACCAAGCTTTTTTCAATATCTCACACTTTTGCAAGAAGTGTGATGATTTGAAGACCTAAGTCTAGTTAGTAGCTAGCTGGCGGTAAAGAGTAATTACAACTATTACCACATTGATTCTCATCAAATTCTTAATTATTTATTATATCGGTAATCCACAAAAGAATATTTTCGTCTCTGTTTTTCTACCTTTCCTTAATAATTTACTTAGTGCAGATAGCATTGTAGCCTAATCTATGCCTATATGTCAATTATACAATCCCTAAGGGTTTATAATTTATGGATTTGAGGATCGATAGGCTAAGCTATTTCTGCTAAACTGCTAATTAACATGGTATTATAAGTGGAGGCTTCATGTTTACATGACAGTAATCCCCTAATTATTGTTAGACCCCCAAAAAAAGTCAAAAGTTGTTGGCTATCTAATTAATCTAGGTTAAAAGATAACAGTCACAAAATCTAAAATGTATAGCATGCAACCTCTTCCGACTTTTTGGTAAAAACATTTTTGTTTTGTACCCAATTTTTTTTTGCATCAAAGAATCTCTTGTATTGTCTTGTGTTTGCACTAATTTATAGTATTTGCTAATATGTAATGACTACAGTCTACAAGTTAAATTATTGCTTTTGATAAATATAGTTAAGCATAGGAAAATGAATGAGTGTGAACGAGATCTTACAATCGCATGGAGACAAGATTCCGAAAAAAAACCTTGCTGAAAGTGAAAGAACATGTTTTGCTTTAAGAAAACAATGACAATAGAATATGAGTAATTAAAAGAAATCGTTTTGCTCAAAATATTCATAGAATTAGTCACATTTGCCTTTTATATAAACCATGGCTCTTTGATTGTGCGAATGTTTGAAGTTTTCATAAAAAAGGAAAAATTCACAAAATCCCTTTCTACAACTTGTATACGGTCGAAACTAGGTTCGTCCGTTGCTTGACCAATCGAGGCTGAAACATGCAGGTCAAAGCTCGAGTTCGGGTTATATCGAATCAAGGCGCAAAATTAGATCGTCGAGCTCGTGACCCAGAGAACGAGCAAGATCGAGACTGAACAAGATCGAGGGAAAGTTGCCGAGCCAAATAACGGAAAGCCGAAATGTTCGCAATCGGTTGAAGATCACGGCGGAAATCTTAGCACATATCAAGAAGAGGCCGATTAATTAGCAAATCATGAGATTTTTTACCTTGTATAGAATTGTACCAAGAGTGGAACACCCCTATTATATAAGGAGGGTTCTGATCATTTGTATGGCACATTGTAACATGCACAAAGAAAGCAATATACTAATCATTTCTAGTTCTTATCATCTTGTTGCCCAGTTTTAACACCAGTTGAGACATTTCTTGGCTCGAGGGCGATCAAACTCAGAGGATAAGGCTATTCAATTTTGTGGTTTGTATTTATTATCTTATTGTTAATTTCAACATTAATCTGTCTTCTTAATTTGTATCAAGTTATATCATGTATCCTTAAAACCACGTACAAATTCAATTGTTATCCAATTTTAAGAGTAAATAGTTTGGTGCCACTGATATTGAAGGGTCTGGACTCCAAAAAATTCATGCAAAAACCTTTCCCCCCGAACGCGGCTCCCAAGCCGATCCCTAAGAAGTTCTACATGCCCGAGATTCCTAAATACACTGGAACAACCGATCCAAATGAGCACATAACCTCTTACACATGTGCTATCAAAGGGAATGATCTAGAGGATGACGAGATCGAATATGTCTTGTTAAAGAAATTTGGAGAGACCCTGTCAAAGGGAGCTATGATATGGTACCATAATTTACCACCTAATTCTATTGACTCATTTGTTATGCTTGCAGATTCTTTCGTAAAGGCATACACCGGAGCCATCAAGATCGAAACCAGGAAGTCGAACCTTTTCAAAGTAAGGCAGAAGGACAACGAAATGCTCAGAGAATTCGTGTCTCGATTCCAAATGGAACGGATGGACTTGCCACTGATCGCTGATGATTGGGTTGTTCAAGCTTTCACCCAAGGACTCACTGTTCGAAGCTCAGTGGCTTCACAGCAGTTGAAGCAGAATTTGATAGAATACCCGGATATTACTTGAGCCGATATGCATAATCGGTATCAATCAAAGATTAGGGTCGAAGACGATCAACTTGGGGCTTTTTCTGGGTCCATTTATCCTATCAGACCCATCGATAGAATCAAAAAGGATATTGAACGAGAGTCGAGGTTGGACATAGATCGATATCAACCGTATAATAGAGATCGTAGGAGCAGCGGATCTGGGCAAAATTCAGCACGAAATGAAAGGAGAAATGATCGAGGCCAAAGCTCTCGAGGGCTCATGAGCAAGAACGGCTTCGACAGACCTATCAGACCTGAAGAAGCACCACGATTATCAGAGTACAACTTTAATGTTGATGCAACTACCATCGTATCAGCTATTAGACGCATCAAAGATACCAAATGGCCTCGGCTTTTACAAACCGATCCAGCCCAAAGGGATCCCAACCAAATATACAAATATCATGGCACTCATGGCCACATGATGTAGGATTGTCGACAATTGAGAGAAGAGGTAGCCCGGTTATTCAACAACAGGCACCTTCGGGAATTTCTAAGCGACCGAACCAAGAATCATTTCAGAAATAGAGATTCCAATAAATAAAATGAGCAAGACAAACCTCAACACATCATTCATATAATCATCGGAGGTGTCGATGTTCCTCAAGGTACGATGTTAAAGCGTACCAAAGTATAAATCACAAGGGAAAAATGGATCGAGATTACATACGAGAAGGAACTTTATCTTTCAACGATAAGGATGCAAAAGGAATCATGCAGCCCCATAATAATGCAATGGTAATTTCTGTACTTATGAATAAAACTCGAGTTATACGTGTGTTAATTGATCCAGGTAGCTCGGTCAACATTATTCGATCGAGGATTGTAGAGCAACTTGGCCTACAAGACCAAATCGTACCTGCAGCCTGAGCGCTAAATGGATTCAACATGGCTTGCAAAACTACTATGGGAGAAATAATGTTATCGGTAAATGTAGCCGAAACCAGCCAGGAGACCAATTTTATGTGATCGAAGGGGATATGAGGTATGATGCCTTGTTTGGGAGGCCATGGATGTTACGCCCTGCAGTATTACGTCGATATTACACCCCGCAGTATTATATTACGATGATGTCATTCCCTACAATATTACATTACGATGATGTTACGCTCCGCAGTATTATATTACGACGATGTTGCACCGTGTAGTATTATACGTGAAATT